ATAGGCTCAGCACAGCTGAGAATTGCATCCTAGGATTCGGTTCATCCACAGAGATATAAATGAGCTATGTGCTAGAGATTGTAATTATGCAAGCTTTTTGGATCAAGCATAGAAGGGTTTAATGAAGACATACAAACTTGTTTGCCAGCAAGCTTGAAATAAAATAGAGCTCATTTGCTGCTAATTGGATTCAGCTTTATCTGGGTCTGAAAGCAGTGTGGAGGGATTTGGGATGGTTGGAGGGGTGGGGGTGGAAGAAACTTTATTGGCCCCAGAATAAAAAGCATGTATAAAGACTTATTTCTGTATTTAGAATTACTCCATTAATTAAGTTTTCCAGAGGCTTATGAGCATGGTGAGCTTGTTGCTTTTGTTTTTTTTAAGCCACAATTTATTCATCCCATTTAGTTTTTTCAGAGTCCTAATTTTCCATTTTTAAAGTGAGAGAGTTTTCCTTAAACCAAAAGGGCAGTGTACTGCTTCATGACAACAGAGTCTCTGTTTGCATTTACACAGCTTTCTCAACTGGCAACGATTATTTCACATGAGAAACCTGAGCTTTTGGCTTCCCCCCTTTTAGAACCTGAACATGATGAAAACTGAAAGAGTTTACAAGGATTATTAAAGACTTTGAATACATTTGCAAAGCTGTTATTTGGCTGTTATAGTACAGAGCCAGTTTTGAAGAGGATGTGAAGGAGCTGGGAACCTGAGAGGAGACACTGTTTATATCACAATAACTCCTGTATGTAGTTTGACACAACTGTCAACCTCTTCAGAGAGGCGCAGCCCAGAACTGAGCACTAGTGAAGGATGTTATTGGGATTGAGGACTAAAAGGAAGACTCTTGGGGTATGTCTACCCTACAGGGTTTGGACTCTGGCTCAAGCCTAATCTCTCTTCCCTCAACATGCAAATCATACTAACCCAAAGCTCTGTCCCAGAGTCAGTCACAGGTCTGGAGGGTCTGAATCTGAGTCAAGCTGGGTCTTGTGATTCAAGCCCTATTGCTTTGCAGAGTAAATGCAACCCCACTGAACTTATGTGCAGGAAGTCCACAGAAAGTAATGCACAACCCCACCAGCCAACTTTCTTTGACCAGTGAACAGTCTTTTGGTGGCCAATGAAGTTTTCCCACTCTGCACCATGAACAAAGGACTAGAGTATACACATTTTGGGTGGGCACAAGAAAGTCAGGGATAGTGTGGCTGGACTTGGGTTTGCATAATACAGTGTAGACACTAAAGCCCCAGATTAAGACCCAGGATTCAACAATTCCTAGCTTGGGGTTACAAATGAGTATAGATGATCAAGCCCTGGGTAATCGAATCTCTGGTCTTCTAACTGAAGTTCTATTAATCCTGATCTTATACTGCAGAGTAGACACATTTGGGGACAAGATTTTCAGCACTGTGTCTTGTTTTTACAAATACACACTACAAAGGCCATGGTCATGTCAAATTTGCTCTCTAATTCCAACTTTGCAAAATTATACTAACAAAAATAGTTCCATAATTTTTTACCTGTACATTGTTTGCAACCCCAAAATTCCAATTAACTATGGAAAAAGTGAAATTGAATAGTCTTGTTTTCATTATATAAGATGAGAGAAATGCAAACTCAAACCATATGAATAATGAAAATTCGCTTTTAGTAATGTAAGGTGTTATCTATTTAAAAAAATAAACTGCCATGTTTGCCAAGGGATACTGAAGCAGTGAGCAGTGGGGCTATTCTGTCTGTGGAGAGAAGTTCTGAGGAAAGCAGGTGTGTGGGTTTTTTTGGCTGTAACGTGCTCTTCCCCCCACACACATACACCTGCACCAGCTTCAGTCATCTAGCAGCTGTGGAGGAGGACATGGCCTTGGCTCCTGTTCTTGTGTCCTATCCCTACCTTTGTGTGGTTATGCAGGGCAAACCACATTCAGGACTTGCATTTTGTAATATATCCATGTCCCTTCAAATGCCTAATTCTGTAGTCTTTCATGATCATTAGTTTAATAAATGTGTGATTTGTTTTCTTTGAATGTGCCATTTTAATGGAAATAGCTTATTTATGAAGAGAGTAAAATGGTGAGTTCTTCTTTTAGGTTGTTTTAACACCTGATTTATACACACACTCCCCTTAAGCACTGACAGGAAAACTTTCCATGAGAAGTAGAATTATGTCATATTTGTGCTACAGTAGTTTCCAAGTGCTGGAAAATTCAAACTGTGTTACAGCATCAATTATTAAATGAGGAGATATAATCCTCGAAATGGTTGTGTCAGTGTTATCATTACTAGGATTCTGTGAGGAAGGTATAATGTCTTTACAGTGGGTGGAAATGGTCCAAATAGCATTCTGTCTTTCTGCATCCTACAGATTATTTTTGTTGGGAGCAGTGACTGAGAACTAGCTATTAATTTAATCCATTTATGTTTATAGGTTTTATATTACATATAGCATTTTTTTAGTTTCCTTTTCTTTTTCCTTTTTGATCTTTCACTAGTACAAATATGGAGGAGCGGTAATTCTGGTGTGTGTTTTTCCAGGTGGAAAAGTGAGGATGATGTACGGATTCCACACCTGGAATCCCAGATGTTACTCATAGTTCTTTTGTTTTATAACTCTGTGTGTGTGTGTGTGTGTGTGTGTGTGTGTACCTAGTGAATCCTTAGTTGAAAATTGTTTTTCCTGGCATCGAATTAAATATTTGTAGCTAATTTTATTATTTGCCCCCCTTTTTCCTGATGATGTTGGCCATTTCTTTGTTAGACTTCTTTCACTTTGTCCTGGGCTACATACTTGTTGGCAAAGCATCCTGAAGTCCAGCAATCTGTGTATGAAGAGATAGTCAATAACTTGGGAAAAGATGAAGTTCCTACTGCAGATGATGTCCCCAAATTGCCAATGATTAGAGCCCTGCTCAAAGAAACCCTGAGGTAAGTGAAACTTTTAATTATCAACTTCCAGTTGTCTGCCAGTTATTTTCTAGTTATATTGTCCTAGCTAAAATATGTATTCTGTTGTTGCTATTGGTGGTGGTAGCTGCTACTACTTGTATTCCTTGTACTACCAGTATACCCAGTGCATTCTGAAAAATGTAATACAATACATAGCACATACATAATGCTCTGTTTTCTATGTGCTGTATACATATTAACTAATTAACACTCACAGTGTTCCTGTAAGGTAGATAATTAAAGAGCTTGATTGTGTCATTAGCGCACTGGTCACCATGAGGGACTGTGAAGCCACACTACCTGAGCAGAAGTTCTGGAGAAGTTGTGCCTCAGGGAATACAGGGGGAGTGTGCTACTACTACAATAACTGAGGCCATGGATACATAGCCTATTTCTCCCTTTTAGAGGTAGATAGCTCCACTCATGGAAGTAAAATGACAGCAGCTATATCTGGTTCCTGAATGAGGGGTTTCTTTCGTACTGCCCTATAGTTATTTTTATAGGGGTCAGTTGTGTTCTGACCCTAATTATCATTATCCCTATTTCAAAGATGGAGAAACTGAGGCAGAGAGATTAATGGATCAGCTTAAGGCTACCCATTATTTCAATTTTTTTCAGTATTTTTACTGTGTGAGCCTCAGAATATTAGCAAGACAAGGTGAGTGAGGTGATACCTTTTATTGGACTGGCTTCTGTTGGTGAAAAAGACAGGTTTTTTGAGCTTATGCAAAACTCTTCTTCAGGTCCAAAAAAGATAATTTAGTCCAATAAAGATATTACCTCCCTCATCTTGTCTCTGATTATTTCACTGGCAGTGCTAAAATTAGACCTACAGAGATACTAGCAACTAATCTTATACCCAGACAGACCAAGTTGCCGCCCCTCGCACTCTTTTGGTCCTCAACAGAATCCAGACTTGCTACAGTCATTTCACTCTGAGTGTATGTTAATGTGATATCTAAACTGACTCCTTTGTAAAACTTTGTAAATTTAAAAAAATTATAAATGCTGAATCCCACATTAACATTTGTCTGTAGGTTATTCCCTGTATTGCCAGGAAATGGCAGAGTGACGCAAGAAGACTTAGTTATTGGAGGATACTTTATACCTAAAGGGGTGAGTAGTGTAATGGTCTTACAGAGAGAGTGGAACAGATTTTCTTCATAGAATCATAGAAATGTTGGTGTGGAAAAGACTTCAAAAGGTCATTTTCTCATCTTTGCCATGCTGAAGCAGGATAAATATACCCCTAGACCAAACCGGATAGATGTGTGCTCTATGTATAAAAAAGTCTTGCATTAAGATAAAAGTACACGGCTATGTCTACACTGCAAGCTTCTTGCACAAGAACTGTTTTGTGCAAGAGTTCTTGTGCAAAAATTCTTGTGCAAGAGCACGTCCACACTGCCATGTGCTTTTGCACAAGAGCGTCCACGGCAGTGTGGATGGTCTCTTGCACAAGAAACCCTTGTTGCCCATCCACACTACCTTCTTGCGCAAGAGGGCTTATTCCTCGTGGGGAGAGGAATAACTCTTGTACAAGAAGCCTTATTTTCTGACACTTTACTGTAAATTTATTTGCGAAAGAATGTGTGTGCAGTGTAGACATGCCACAAGTTTTTGCGCAAGAACGGACATCATAGGAAAGAAATTTATAATAGTGTTCATTTAAGTGAAAAATAATGTTTATAATTGACTGTTTTTTCCTTGAATCCTGATGTAAATATGTTTTCCTTATGAGATGGATTGGTTCTCACCCTTTGAGTCTCTCTGTTTTGGTTTTATTGTTCAGTACCCTAGAAAGAGAAGGCTGTTCACAAATACAGCACACATAGAATCATAGAATCATAGAATAATAGGACTGGAAGGGACCTCAAGAGGTCATCGAGTCCAGCCCCCCACCCTCAAGGCAGGACCAAGCTCCACCTACACCATCCCTGACAGATGTCTATCTAACCTGTTCTTAAATATCTCCAGAGAGGGAGATTCCACCACCTCCCTTGGCAATTTATTCCAATATTTGACCACCCTGACAGTTAGGAATGTTTTCCTAATGTCCAATCTAAACCTCCCCTGCTGCACTTTAAGCCCATTACTCCATGTCCTGTCCTCAGAAACCAAGAGGAACAAATTTTCGCCTTCCTCCTTGTGACACCCTTTTAGATATTTGAAAACCACTATCATGTCCCCCCTTAATCTTCTTTTTTCCAAACTAAACAAGCCCAGTTCATGAAGCCTGGCTTCATAGGCTTCTCTAGACCTTTAATCATTCTTGTCACTCTTCTCTGTACCCTTTCCAATTTCTCCACATCTTTCTTGAAATGTGGCGCCCAGAACTGGACACAGTACTCCAGCTGAGGCCTAACTAGTGCAGAATAGAGCGGCAGAATGACTTCACGAGTTTTGCTTACAACACACCTGTTGATACAACCTAGAATCATATTTGCTTTTTTGGCAACAGCATCACACTGTTGACTCATATTCAACTTGTGGTCCACTATGACCCCTAGATCCCTTTCCGCCATGCTCCTTCCTAGACAGTCGCTTCCCATCTTGTATGTATGGAACTGATTGTTCCTTCCTAAGTGGAGCACTCTGCATTTCTCCTTATTAAACCTCATCCTGTTTACCTCTGACCATTTCTCTAACTTGCTAAGGTCATTTTGAATTATGTCCCTATCCTCCAAAGAAGTTGCAACCCCACCCAGTTTGGTATCATCCGCAAACTTAATAAGCGTACTCTCTATCCCAATATCTACATCATTGATGAAGATATTGAACAGTACGGGTCCCAAAACAGACCCTTGAGGAACTCCACTTGTTATCCCTTTCCAGCAGGATTTAGAACCGTTAACAACAACTCTCTGACTACGGTTATCCAGCCAATTATGCACCCACCTTATCGTGGCCCTATCTAAGTTATATTTGCCTAGTTTATCAATAAGAATATCATGCGAGACCGTATCAAATGCCTTACTAAAGTCTAGGTATATGACATCCACCGCTTCTCCCTTATCCACAAGGCTCGTTATCTTATCAAAGAAAGCTATCAGATTAGTTTGGCATTATTTTGGCACACAGTCTATTATTTTTATAAATTAGTGTAATTTGGGGTATTAAATTCAGTAACGGAAGTTCTTCTGGATGTATGTCCCTATGGGTGCTCATGAGATATCTTTTACTGAGCCTAAAAGTTTTCTGAAGATGATATAATTTGAGCTAATGAGAAGGAAATCTAATTTTGAGATACCTACTCTTTATGAAAACTCAAATGAAAATTCAGATATGTAATTTCTACATCTTTTTCTTATTATATTTCATATTACAGAAATTGTAAGTATATTATTATTATTATTACACTTATCAGAATTAATTAAAAATAAAATGTTAACTGTTTTCTCAGACCCAGTTAGCACTCTGTCATTATGCTACATCATACGAGGAAGAGAATTTCCCAATGGCAAATGAATTCCGACCTGAGCGCTGGCTGCGGAAAGACAATATGGATAGGGTGGACAATTTCGGTTCCATCCCATTTGGTTATGGCATTCGCAGTTGTATAGGAAAAAGAATTGCAGAATTGGAAATTCACCTTGCACTGATTCAGGTGAGTACTCTGTGACAGTGTCATAAGAAGAGAAAAATATTAGTATCAGCTCTTTAATATGCAAACCGCCTTTGTGCATCTTTTTAATTAAGAAAAGCTTTGTTTAAAGAATGTTGAGTAGTCTTGATCTTGCATTCTTTTTCATTAAGAGTACATGTGCTTAGAATTAAGCATGTCAATAAAAAGCTACATTTCAGAAATAAACATTGTAAATCCTAGTTAAAGTACAAGCAAAATCCATCCAATAAGATTACTAAGGAAACAATTACTTTAGTATAGAAGGATTTTCATAAATCAATTGGAACCTTTAAGTGAAAGACTCCTTTGGCATATTACAGGTTTTTTTTAACTCAGTTATAGGATTTGAGTTAAATGTTTTGAGAACAGTGGAGCATTTACCAGAAAGTGAAGTAGGTTTGTAATCATGAGACTGAGGCAGACCATTATAACCAACATTCAAACCAAACATCCACTGGCTTCATGTTTTCTCTGCTCATGCAGAGGCTTTTTCAGGCTTCTGCATATATTCTTTTTACTGTTATATATAGATTATTTTTGTATTTCTTCTTGAGGCAAATAAGTCTTTCCTGTCAACCCCTACTTTGTTTGCATCTCCAAGAATTCCCCAAAAGATTTGGATCAGATTGAGAAATTAAAACACAAGGGTTTGCAATGTCTCTTATTTTTTACCATGATTTCACAGACCCAATTGATCTACTCAGATGTGCTTCATAGTCGTTTATGTAATACGCTGTAGCATTTCAAATAAATTGCTGTTTCTCCCATGTTCTGGTTCTCGTGCTGCTTTAGTGGAGATGTCAATGCAGTGGTCTAATATCTGTAGAATCACCGTGACGAAATGACACCCTGCCATTGCTGTTCTGTTCTGTATAGGTTTTTGAATAATGCTCATCACTTTATTATATGAGCAGTTACATTAAGGAGTGTGACTAACATCTGTTATGTTCTGTAGCTCCATCCTCTGCTAAGGGGAAAAAGTGTGTGCAATGGAATATTATGTTTTGGAATACTTTTCATGCTATATATTTGTTAGTGAAGGCAAGATCAGACATGTATGCCATTCACTTAAAGAGGATGGTGGATAGTCTTTAGTTCCTTTGGAAGTTCATTCCACAATTTTAGGCCAGTTTATGAAAAATCTTTGTCTTTTGCACTGACAAGCTTTTCTTACTGTAGAAAGTTTCATTGTGCCAGCGGAGCATGTTTGTCAAACATGGCCTTCGTCCTGACTCCATGTTTCATTTTCCGTATAGACTAAGGGTGGGGAACCTAAGGCCCGGAGCTGGATATAGCCCTCGGCTTGCCTGGATCCAGCCCCTGAGGCTTGGGGCTTCTCCCCAGCATTGGGAAGTTCACATTGGTGAGGGGTGGATTTTTTTGTTTCTCACTTGTGTGCAGCCCCTGATTTTTCTGTGGGTCAGTCGTCCCCAACCCGAAAAAGGTTCCCCGCCCTTGTTATAGACAAAGCATGTTAAGCATTTCACTGGAACTGACAGCAAACTTAATGGTAGTGGTGAACTCTAAGGTGTATTACTGGTTTTCTGTTTATAGAATTATACATTTGTATTTAATCAATTTATAAGCTTTCTAATTTCAGCATATGTCTCTTTCCAGCTGCTTCAAAATTTTGAGATCAGAATTTCTCCCCAAACTAAACCAGTCAAGGCCAAAACCCATGGACTTTTGACTCCTGGAGACTCCATCAATGTGAAATTTGCTGACAGGAAATGAGATGCAAATGGTTAGGAAATATTAGTGTACTCTTCTTGGAAATTGACTTTCATCTGATTGAAATTTGATGATCATTCTCTTGTCCATTGGCTTGTCGGCATTCTGCAAAATTATCAAGTCTTAGATACTGACCTACTTCTAGCAATATCCAAGAGATGTTATCCCCCTCATAGAAGATAATTCCACAAGTTCATGCGGAATTGTATGGAAATGTAAACTTAAACACTTCCTTTTTGCACTGGGAGTCACTTTTTCTCGAGTCATTTTGGATGATAGTAGCAACATGCACTGAAACAACAGCATCAAGTTCAGGCATGGCATATTGTCTTGCGCTTTTGTTAGACTGC